TTTTTTTTTTTTCTTCAGTTTATAAAAAGATTATCAGCAAATTGCGGAGAAAAATTTGGATTCCATTAAGCTCCCCTAATGCTCTCTGTGTGTTGCAGAGAATCCTCTGAAGAGATGAACTATGATTTAAATACATTTTGGTGTAGAGAAACTTGTCCACTCGTCTCAGAGTGAGCAGACATACTTTTATTTCTAGGGCTAGATGAGACATTAAATTAGCCCAAATTCTAAAGAGGTTGAGGATTCCTGGCTGTGCCTTTGGTACTGGTCATTTTTTATTCTCTTTACTCCATTAGTGCAGTTCTGCAGTAGGTCCTAAAATCTAAATGAGAAGTTTGTGCCTAGGGACTTGACTTAAATTTTCCCCTCCCACCCATCCTCCTCACTGGGCTTGACCTACTGAAAAGCTGCTTTTGAGCATAGAATGTGGATGGAAAAACTCTTTCTGTCCACAGCGTATTCACTCCCAAAACGTTAGGGATGCACACCAGGACATACAAAAAAATCATATGATATGTGAATATTTTCATTTCCATATTGAAACCCAGAGGCTGATCCCATCCCCCTTGGAGGGGAGAGCAGCCCTAAAGTGGCCAAATACCCCTTCCAGTATCAGGCTCCTGGGGTTTCTTAGTTCAAGGTGACTCATACCTCATGTATTAGGAGATGCCCTGCTGTCTTGTCCGAAAAGTTTGCTGCCATGCTACAATCAGCAGCATGAAATTATATTTTATTTAATTTTTTATGAAGTTGGTGAATCCCTCTGAGCCAGATCGTGTGCAATCGCCGGTGTTTCGAAGGGGCAGCGTGAAGATGAACTGCTGGAGGGAAAGCATGGCCTAACTTTCTCCCCCATGTCCCACCTTTTCAGGGGAAGTTTTTGGGGGTGTTTTTAGGTGGAGTTTTTTTGTTTGAGTTTTTTTTTTTTCTTTTAGTTTGTTTGTAAACTGAGGCTGCCTGTAACTATAGCCAGTTTTACTCCAGATAACTCAGTTTCTTGCCTAATAGAGCATCCTTTGGTCCGTGCATGTCGGCGGATATCAGATTATTCCCTTCCAGTCAAGTTACCCATTCAAGGTACATGTACATGGGACTGCTGAACTATAACAATAATAATAATATCTGGGGGTTTTGAATGTCGTTCTGCTGCATTAGCATTGCTTCACCAGCTTTCCTGACACTCCTGGAGTTGTTTTGTGAAACTTAAGCGTTTATTTTAAAATGAATTTGAAGCACTGAGTTAGATTATTTTAAAAAGTTGTGCTTAAAATACTGTATTGTATCTTATGAAGAAAAAACTTCCCAATGCCTTTCCCCCTCTGGTCCAAAAACTGAGCACTACCTACATAAATAATATGGGATTGACTTTTTTTTTTTTTTAATAAGTACTTCCTCTTTTAAAGAAAATCAGGATATACTTGTTACAGCCTCTTCTTATTATTCATCTCTTAAAATATGAATGTACATGTAATGTGAAATTTTGCTTTTATTTATAGTTTTGAGTTTTGTTGTCAGTCTGATTTCTCAACTGTAAAATATTTTTGCTGAACCTGTTACATATGAAAGTTGTGGGAGAGTACTGTATCTTGAACATAAGTGGCTTTGGTACTGTGGTCTTATTCTACTTAATCGTTTTTTTCTTTTTTTCTTTTTTATTTTTGCTGTGATTGGAAATAGCACTGAACAAAATCTACTAAAATTAAGTTATTTTTCTTTCTACTAAAATTAAGTTATTTTTTTCTCCTGAAGATACTTGATATAGTATTTATTAGATTTTTTTTTTTTGGTTTTGTTTTTGAAGTGGAATTATTACTGTTAATCTATTTCAAAACTAGTTAATTTACACTTCACTTTAAATTTTATAACAATGGGTTTTGCATGTTGAGCAACATGTAAAGAGTTTAATGTAGAGTCAGCATTACTGAAGCTGGTAATCTTAATTTTGCATTCTTTTGACACTTTTGTTTGCATTTCAGTCTTCAATTACTGTTTGTTTTTATTTTTTTTAGAAGATCATAAAATAGGATGTGCCATAAGAACATCATTAGCGTATGGAGCAGGGAAAAGTTGAAACAAGTTTGTGTCTGATCTTAGTATAGAAATAATTCATTAAGCTGATGCTATGAGCATGCTCTGTACTGCAGTGAATATGGGGCAAAAGTTGTTTTTGTTTTATTTTGGTTTTTTTTTTAAATAAGGAAAAAAAAAAAGACTTTCTCATTCTTGACTTCATCATGAACATGCTGTTCTCATAGTCTGGTATTTGTGTTCCCACTCCTCATAGCTTGAATTTCTAAAGTAAAGAAATGTTTGCACTTATTTTTGTTCTTAAGGTGACTTTTTTTTTGGCTATCTCTCCGTGTGTCTCTTATTTTTAAGTTGCAATAGCTTGGAGCATGTCTTCAAAATGGTTCATGGCTCTACGGAGAAGTACTAAAACATGGCACACTTAACGCTTGTCTCTTCATAAACTTATTTCTCTGTGGGGCAGTTACTGTCTTCGTAGGGAACAGTCCTGCTCTGCATTTTAAACACTGGATTTATCTTCTACTACAAACAAATACTGTGAAGTTAATGTAAAAAAGAAAAAAAAAATCATTGATATTTTTAATTGTTTTTAATCTTGGTGCAGTTCAGATTAAATATGTATATTTAAAGACACTAATTTTTGTGGGAGAGTTTTATAGTATACAGTATGTAGAGAAGCTATTGGAATGGAATATATTTTATAAAAATGTTCTATCACTGTTTTATAGTGAACTATTTTTCCTTCAGTGTTAGTGTAATACTGTTAGTCTAGATATGACAATCGCAGGAAGAGTGATTCAAGCTACTGTTAGCGCTTAGTTTTGCGTGGAGTTCTGTTTGCAACTGTATTGGTATGTGCTGTACAATGTGACAATCGTGACTAGGATTGTTGTCTTTATAAATTTACACAAAATAAAACGTGCTAGAATTGTAAGCGCGAGCCTGCTCCCCCCTTTAGCGGAAGGGGTGTGGTGTTTGGGGTTTTTTTATTCCATATTAATATTGATTAATATTTATAAATATTTTATAATGTGCTGCTTTTCTTATTATTATATACTTTAATAATTCCTTTCTTTTTCAGGGCCATGTGGAATTTTAGGCATGTGAGGAGCTGCCGTGTCTCAGTCAGAGCCTGACTGAGCATTTCCTTAGTCACTGGGCTGCACCTAAAGCAGCACCACTTCTGCATTTTAACCAGAGTTACCAGGGACGTTTGAAGGGGCTCAGCTCTCCCTTGTGTATCAGCCCTGCCTTGAGTGGTGCTGTGACAGCCGTGGGTGGGTGGTGGTGGCCAGGTGACAAACCTGTGAACACAGAGGTGTTGTGGTGGCCAGGGACAGCCCAACAAAGGCACCGGTGCCACCAGCATCCCACACCTTTGGGCTGATCCCAACACCACATGGGCTAACTGGCTTCTCTTAAGTGCTGAATCTCTCCCAGCCTTGGCAGAGCTGAGGTCTGATCTACTCCTGCTCATGTCCCCCTTAAAACTTGGGCTGAGTTCAGCAGGGGCTGGGCTTGGGGAAGAAGAAGGCACAAGATGTCCGTGCCAGCTGCTGCTCCAGGGAGGACAATAAGCAGGTGTGTAGGTTTGCGCCTATGTGCACTGTGCCTTGTGTTTCTTAATTATTTGGAAGCAAAGCTTCCTGGCAGAATCAAACTGCCTCAAAATGTTGCTGGTGGAAGGGTGGGCAGGTTATAGTTAATGCTGGTGGGGAGGCACAGCAATCTCTCCCCTCCTGCTATCACGTAGCTGCTGCTTTGCAGTCATCTCAAAATAGGTGGGTATTTCTTGCCTTCAAGCATGTGTCCTTCCTTATAGATCCTGTGCCTCCATCCCCATCTGCAAGGAGGGCAGAAAGCTGCTGAAGATGCGTAGTGATCCTGCTGCGATGTGGTGAAGTGTTAGAACCTATAAATATTTAATTTTTTTTTTAGTTTGTTTTTTGGGTTTTTTTTTATTTCTACCCCTTAGAGATGGGTGTCCCTGCAGCTGCTGATTTGCAGCACTCTGTTTCCACTCTTTTCTGCTGTTTTGGATGTACAGAAGAACATTCGAAGGTGTCTTATCTCCTCCCTGCCCCAAAAACGAATTACATAAATTTTACCCAAATCTGAGTGCTGTGCTGGGGAAGGAGGAGGCAAAAGGCTTTTCTTTGAGGGAGAGGGTGCTCAGAAGGAAGCAAGCT